GTGACGCGTCTCATGATCGCTTGGCACTCCCAACAGATGAATAGGCTGGCTGTGTCTTTGAAGAAACCTTCCTGATAAATATACGCATATCTTTCAGTTTTCAAAATCGTAACATTTGTCAGTCTTACACAGGTTACAAAGGTGGAGTGGTCTGGGACCATTGCAATGATTATAAAGTACTGTTAAGTTCTGATCTAGCGAATTACACAAATAATAGCTGCTAAGGGCGTGTGAAGTTCCACACTGGGAAGGAACAGGCCCCAACCAGAGGATATCAAAACAACCGAAGCCAGGAAATTCCCCCAGGTCTTAAACACTGCTAGCCTTGTTTCAGAACTGTAATTAGATAAAGGGCTGCGCAGGGCCTGGATAAAGCCACCCTAATAATATTGACAATATTAAATACCATAGCTGCTACAATCTGCCTAAAAACTAGAATGCTAAATCAAAGTATTAGTTACAATAAAAATGAAGCTTATGTTAACAGTTGTATATTATTATATTGATTATGAATTATATTCATAATCAATTATTCGTACTTATGCACATGAATTCTTTAAAGAATTTCATTGGCGCGAGTGCTCACTGTCGCCGCGGTCGAGATAGTGGCCCTGTTTGCTCCGCCCCCTCGGCGCACCGCGTGTCGCCATCGCTATTGGCGTAGACAACAGTCGTAAGTGCAGAAAAAAGTGTACACCAATTTGTGATCTCTACATTACTTAACGGACTCTGGTCTCCCTCTAAAGTGGTTAAATTGTATTAATTTGTTCTTCTTCTTAGCGTATCGACTCTGACGTTTATATTTTATTTATTTAATTTGTTGTTCAATACACATTTAGATTTATATTATTATTTATTAACCTATATTATACTGACAATTCAATTATATTGACAATTATATTCATAAATGACTTAATTTAAAACATCAGTGCATCTTGACGACGCTTAGGACAGTCCATAGAGGTCTAGCTATTTTTTAAAGTCATCGGACCATCTTTTAAAGGGACACCCTCCTTTCATATTGACATTTTCTCTTGGTAACCATTCTGTTACCTTTCTGGTCCACTTTTCTACTCGTTCCCTGTACATGTGGCCAGTCCACTTCCACTTTAGCGTTTTGCTTTTTGTGGTGACGTAAAGAACAATAAATTAGCTATCTTCAAAATGCAAGTCAAGGGGCACTATTTATCCTCTGTTCCATCAATTTTATAGATATTATAATATGAAATATGTGTTTATGTAAGTATTTATAGTCTGTAGTAATTTAATATTTTTGTTATTGTTTTTTTTACTATTATTTTATTACATAATTTAATTTTGTTTTGTTGTGCATGTAAGCCCGTGATGGTACTTATTTTGTCGTGTATTAAGTTCTGCAGGAAGAAATTTCTTATAGAAATTAGCAGTACCTTTTCTACATGTTTTCCACTTTACTAAATGTGATTTATATTTTCCTGTACGATAAATAAATTATTAAATTCATTTATTCTCATTAAATTGATGATATGGTGTGACGGGCTGATGTCTGCAACTAGAAATCTAGGCTCCCATTTTGTGTGTAGACACATCAAAATGATATGTTTATTTCAAATTATTTCAGAGGGTTTATCTTCAATTAAAAATTTTGCTATCTTTTTTTTTTGATACAAAGCACTTTAAAATGATAGCACAGTTAGGTTCTGTTTGATATTAGGAAAATATATATATTGAAAAGGTGTTAGTAGACTATTAGTGCCAAGAATATCTTTACGATATGCCCAGATATAACACACTTACATTGTGTATTGATTTGGCACATACGGCATTTTTCCGTACATAAAATTTTGTCATAAACATATTTCATGTTTTATGAAAAAGAAGGTTACTTTTCAATACAAAAAGTACAATATAACTATAGTAGTCTGATTATACTTCAGTTAATAGCCAGTTTTTAGTTTATAGTCCCACTGCTGGCCACAGGCTTCTCACAGTGAGGTGGTTTGGGCTAAATCCCATAAGGTCGCGAGCTTCACACACTTCATTGCTTTTCAAGTGTGTTAGTTTCCTAAATATGTTTTCTTTCCCTAAAAAGCTCATGAATATTAAATTACGCACATAAAGTCCGAAATACTCACAAGTGCAAGCCCAGGTTCGAAACTACGACCACACTGTTAGATGTCTACGGCGGCTATTTACTTAAGTTAACAAAATAATAATAATTTGCGATTTTTCTTGTGGTGTGGTGTAACGGACTGTTTATTACAACTCGACGTCGCGTTACATCGACTATTATTATTTCTTGTGGTAGTATTTTTGCAAGGTACAGCGTATAATAGTATTATAAAACGGATATAATAACTTCGCGAAACTTTTGATACGAAAGTAATTGACGCTATTTTAAGTATGACATAATGAGCATATACAATTCTACTCACCCTGTAAGCTTCTGCGTCGGAAAAAAGTAATGAATAGAAGTTATTAACGCCATCCTTGAGCCTGCAAAGTTGAATTAATTTGCGGTCTCTAATGAGACAAATACAGCATAACATTTTTGACTGACTTTCGGAGTATTCGTCCATATTTCTAAGAAATTAATCTTGAAATGTCTATTTAGGACGCTGATCTACTGTTTAATGCATAAATTTCAGGTGTTTTTATTTAGAATTTTCAAAAATATTTTCCATCGATTTGTTTTGACATTTTACATTTTTACTGTGAAAGGATTTTTCAATTTCGCGAAACTAACATGTATCCGAATTTTCATATTATCTATGGCGGTAATGCGTTTGTTTGGGAGTGATTCAAATTCACAATGTGCAAAAGTGACAGATTTATTGAAACCCCACGATATACTTCTCGCCCTATAAATAAATTTAAAATTTATAAAAAAACAACACGTCCATATCTTCTATGTTGTCTATGACATAAATAAATGATGGCGGCCAATTGACTGCGTTTATTTATCGTAATTATTTTCATATTTCTCGTCTCTGGAAAAAGGTTTATACACATGAAATCTTAACAATTTCACCAAGAAGTATTTGTAAACGTAATTGTGACGATGAATCATCCACACGAAGTGCCAGTTGTGCATCATGAAATGCCGCCGCTACTACAGCATCAACATATGATTGAAATTAATTTACAACCCGTACAGCAGCAGCCTCCGCCTCCGCAGCCCCAACAACAAGTTGAGCCAGTAAATCAGATACCACAGCAAGTCGAAACTGTCAACCAGATACCGCAGCAAGAGCAACATCCAACAAATGACGATAAAAAACCAAAAGTAGAAAATAACAAAAAGAAAAAGGAAGCCATCGACGGCCAAGCGCGAGAGATCATTTTTAAGGTAATTAAGTTCTTTGAAAGCGAGAAACAGAATAGAGGCTACGCGTTTCCTGTTGAAAATGTAGTTAAACGCGCATGTGCAGCCACTGGGCTATCAGAGAGTACAATAAAGCGTATAAAACGAGATGGTCTACGCGCCGAGGCGACACAAACCCGTATGACAGGTCCCAAGAAGAAACGAGTGCGAAAAACGAAGGTACAACTTGATTACTTCCAGCTATGTGCCCTGAGGGGCATTGTAAACAGCTATTCTATGAGAAAAGAGGTACCAACATTAGGAAAAATACTAGCTGCTGCAAAACACGAGTTAAACTACCGGGGTGGCAAAGAATCTCTGCGATTAATATTGTTAAATAAACTTGGTATTAAATTTAAGAAGTGCGAGAAGAAGAATAAGAAGCCTCCTGAAGAGTCTCCCCCGCCCGTGCAACAAATACAAAATACAGTGCTACCGCCTCAACCGCAAATGCAACATATGAAAACTATGGAGAATCAGTGCATTTACACAAATATGATACCGCCTGTCTCGTACTAGTATTTGATTTTAATTAACGACTCATAGCTTGTTACAGTATGCCAAAATGCAGTGATTCTAAGGGTGCTAATAGATGCACATAATTTGAATTGCTAATCAACAGCAAAAATGCAGGCAGTTTGCAGTTGACACAACTGCATCATAATTCCGCCCTCCTTGTCATCTTAATATATCTTTATTGCAAAACACACAAAAATAGGTACAGAGATGTGCCAAGCTCCCAAACTAGGATCCTCTGTACTATAGGTAGCTAGGTCTTACATCCATCAAGTGTATTGCCTAAAAATAACAATAACTTAGCCAATTACAATAACTAAGTATATTACAATGAGCTTATAAAATATTAATGGTAGAATGCAAACAGAGGTGATTTGTGTTTAATTTTGGTACATTCATAAATTTCTTACATAATCCAGTATAGTTGTAATTTTCATAAACAACAAAAAAAAACAGCCAACTTCAGTACCAACAATGAACAAAAACATTGCAATAAAATTTTATTTTATAGCATATCATAATTATGTAATGCATTTCGGTAACTTTGCATCTGAAGTTCTTTTTGCTATTAAAAAAATGTCAATACTGCTGATTTTGCTTAACAATAAAACTAACTAAATAAGATATAAAAAACTCCTATTAGAGGGGGTTTTAGATCTCATTTCACTGATCCTAGATAATATTAACTCAATTTTGTTGAAGATTACGTTAGTTGTAAGGAGGGCAGAATTGCGATTGCTTGTTTTCCAACAGTGGCAGCTGCTAGCAAACTGCTCAAATTTTATGATGTAATTATGCCAACTGCACAAAAACTGCAATTTTGCATACAAATGGCTGTCAGACCACAAACTGGACGACAGCGGTGCGGGCACGGCGCAGTAAAAGCGACCTGTACTCGACGTCAGCGATCAGATAGCTTGGTTTGCGGCGACAAAGTGACGTAACGACAGTGTTACCGCAATGTCGATACTGTGATGTGACCTTTTAATAGTACCTAATTCTTTTATTCAGTGTGAGTTATTAGGGGAAAAAGAAGATTTAATCCTGTTCTACAAACAAAAAAAAACCAAAAGACTAGTTTGACTGAAATTACGAAGAGCACAGGCACAATCTGGTTAAGTTCTATGATTACGCTAGAATGGCCGTGGAAACATTGGATATTCTTGCAAATATCAAGCCATAAATAGAATCACACTTTCATTATGAATGAATAATATCTTTATTGAGCTTTCTATTTTTATGGTCGATTTGTTTACTATTCCATATTGGTGGTCTTTCTAAATTTGCTGAAAGAATTTCCTCTTCCGACATGTCCAAACTTGATTAATCGAAAAATAGATAAGCAAAAAGACTGACTATTCGAATGCGCATTCACTGCTCGACTCGAGCTCGACCCTCACGTATCGCAGTCGCCTACACGCCGCGAACACTGTCATCCGGTTTGTAGCCTCATACAGACAGGTTGCAAACAGTCATTTAAATAACGGGGCTATCTATGAATTATGTTATGCAAGTTATAAGCAGACGAGGATCTAAGCCCATGGGGATTTATGTGGATGAATATGGTACATTTCCAGCCCCACCTTTTTAATGGGTGATAAGGAAGTTGTCATTCCTGGTGAGATTGTTGGAATCATTAACTATTTTAAGTTATGCCGCAGTCAGGATAAGTAAATCAAACTACTTAATTGCTCCCAGTATTACAGATTTTGCTAGATTGTCTCATATTTATTTGCATCCAATAAATATTTAAGACTCCCTTTCTCAAGGAAGTATGATGTAATTTATGGATGACAAAGATTCCAGACGCCAGAGACCAGTTTGTTCAAAAGAGAGATTTCGCAATCTCATTATTAAAGAGACTCAACTTGGAAAAGTAATAGTCCCCAGAAATGTTATTTTTGTAATTAGTCACTTTATTTATTGAGTGTACACACTGGACCGCTATCAGCACTGTAACTGTAAAAACTGCAGTTTTTAATAACGGACCCCATTGTTTTCTTTTCGCAAACATGTTAAAAGCGGTCTACAAAATTCCAATATCCAGTCTATTGAGACTAGCTACCTTCTAGTTAAAAAAAAAATATTTTCTGTATAAAATACTGTAATGAGACAATTGTTACTCATTGGAAATGAAAGTATATTTTCCGATCTAAATCACTTATATTTGTTTTATCAAACAAACCATCGGGCTCTTTATAGCTCCCATTCCAGTCCGCCGTGACCATGGGACCTGGGTCCCAAGTTCCGTTGAGACTGCAATTACATTGCAATTATATTTCTATGTCTATAATCTAATTGCAATGGAAGTTGAGACCTAAAAGAGTGTCAGTGTTGCCAGACTTTTGTGACGTTAATTCTGGCGAACTAAATATGTGCGCTAAGTACAAACGAGTTCTTTGAAATTGTTCTTATTCTCCATTCCCCACAAACTCACCAATCAAGTTTGTAATTCCCCAGACATTTTATTAAGTAGCCTAAAGTCGCCTTTTCCTATTTAAAAAATTATCTTATTCTCGCCGATCGCTTTTTTGTCGCCAGACGACCCCTCAAAATAGCCTAAATGGTGAAATTCGCCTAATCTGGCACAACTGGTCAGTAATGTCATTCATTCATTCACTCACTAACGATCAATGCTATCTTAGTAAAACTACCATCGAAATTATTATGCATATCGTCGGTTAAAAGGTAAAACTCATTAAGTGACATTTTGTTCAAAAACTAGATTTTTTCAATTTTGCTTTATTGGGAAGAACATCTATGACAAGAAAAATTCAGTAAGTCTGTGGTGTCCTTCATGTTTTAATACATACCAGTCCTTTAGTGATTTTTCATAATGAAAAAATACAAAATCTTAATTATCTCCCTTTGGCCAATTAGGCTATTAGTGAGTTTTACCTTTTAACCGACGATATCTTAATTTTTGTCTTGTTTAATCAGCAATTTAGTTTTCAAATTTAATATATTGTATTTATTTCAAATAATAATGCACTACGCCATTGAAGAGTTGAATACCAAAAAATTACAATGCCAGTTGAATAGTATCACGAAAGCTAGTCACTGCAAGCTACTAATCGTAACTTTTAGCAGAATACCACACCTACAAAATTCTGCCATTGACATTCATGGTCCGCCAACATCAACCCACTGCTAGGGCATAGGCCTCTTTTCGATCCTGCGCCTTCCGCATCCAACGCGATCCCGCAAATCTGACGATATCGTCAGACCATGTGGTGGTCTGCCCACTGGCCTTTTTAGAGGAGTAAAAAGGCCAGTGGGCAGACCACCATTCCGTGACTGTTTTGGTCTAGCGCCCGGCTTCTCGTCTAGCCAAATGTCCCGCCTATCTCCATCTTAACCTCGTGATGCGATTACCCTCGTCATCGACCTTCGTTTTACGTCGAATTTCGACGTTTGGTACACGATCTACGAGAGAAATACCCAGCATAGAACGCTCCATGGCTCTTTGTGCCACCTTAATATTGCGCATATTTTGCTTAGTGCTGCCATCCGCTAACTAAAACGCGGTTACCTTAAGTGGCAAAGTATTTTTTTGATATATCATAAAAAAACCATAACCCAAGTTTAGAATATTGAAATTGTTAAATAATATTTCAGCTATGCATCGTTAGGGTAAGTTCTGATAAGTCCGAGAATTATGTGCACTATTTTTTGCTATTTAAAATTAAATAAAATAAAAAAAATTTAGTTAATGGACGGCAGAGTGAGCGTCCATGCTTCCGCACCGTAGGTGAGGATCGGTAAGACACATTGATTATAGACCTTGATCTTCAGGCACTGTGGGGGTTTCGACTTAAAAACGTCCTCTAGCTTACCAATTGACACTGTCGACGCACAACTGAGGTGATTTAAAATTAGCAGACTTGGGTACTTGTAAAGGGTCCGAAATGTTGGTTTGTGTGAAAAAACAAATATAAGCGATTTAAATCCGAAAAAAAAATTGTTTCTTATTTTTATTTAATTTCAACGCGCACTATGCAATGAGGTGTAGACGACATATTTATAATTATCGTTACAAATCGGCAATTGTGTAAACAATTTTATTCATTAAAAATTAAATCGATGAAATTCAAATCGCGCTATGAAAGGTTTGTACATAAAGAGTATAGTAGATCACACAGTAAGAAACTAGATTCTTTCGTTTGTTACCAATGGGAGTGTGAGCATTTTAGGCTTTTTGTCACGATATTTTCGTTTCATCTCGAAGCACAGCAAAATGGGGTGAATTGCAACTTACTGGGGAACAAAAACAAATTGCTTAGACATATTTAAAAAGTATTGTTACTATCAAAATATTTTATATAAGTTGGTATTATTAGTACTGGACGTCATTATTTTACAAAATGGGTGAAAATTTTAATTTTTATTGTTTTATAAAGCAAAAAATTCGCGTTATGTCTATTCACCCACAAGTTGCAATTCAACCCATTTTACATGGTAACTGAGGATTTCTCAAATACTTGACCTACATAATTTTACTATGTGATCCACTATATTTATTTTCATTATATTAATGATTTAAGGTAGATGTATATGATAAGGCTGAATTACATAATGTACTATAGTTATTTTTAATGAAAATAATAAAATATTAAGACAATGTTTTGTTTTTATTCCTAGTGATGCCGACGCTGCTTATATTGTGCGGCCGCTATCGTTATTTTTAACCGACTCAAAAAAAGGAAGTTCTCAATTTGACTGTATTTTTTGTGTATATGAACGCAATAACTAAACATTTTTTGTGAACCGATTGATGATTATTTTTTGTTGGAAAGCGGATAGTGGTGCCATTCAAATTTGAAGGAAATATTCCACCTCTAAAAGTGGCAATTTAGTGGGTGAATTCAGTTTATTGGATTGCAACTAGAACTGCAGATAGATTTAATGAAAAGCGATAGCAAATAAGCTAACTTTTGAGGTTGAATAACAAAAGGAAAAATATAAAAAAGTATTAAAGGAAGGAGTTCGCAACATCTACAATGGCATTACGACGACAGCTAAATTGTGACGTATGTTAAGATATTTGAATACGGTACCTGCTTCATCGAAGAATGTTACGTCATAACTTTGCAATGGTTTCGAAACACTTCGCACTGCTAGTACTGGCCGAAGCAGTCCTTATTCAAAATTATGTTATTATTTTTTCCCTTTTATTTTTAAATGTATTTGCGCAAGTGCGAAATTGTTTAGATTTGTATAATAAACCTTCATCTACGCATAAATTTTAATGATCTTTCACGGGAAGTGAATCAATCGTTTTTCATCGATTCTGAGGAAATACACTTTTTGAGTTAATACATTATTGTATTAACAGTGCGACATGTGCTTCTTCTCTTCTTCTTTTAAATGTTATGGCCCCATCGAAATAATCAATGATTTTGCCATTGTCAAGTAAAAATAACTATGTACGGTAGTTTAATATTATTATAAAAATTATACAAAAAAAAAATGGCGATTTCGCCAATGTCCTGTGAGATTATCCGACATTTACTTTTGCAAAGGTAGTATGGTCAAGAATACATCAAACTTGACGCTTTAGACTTTCGAAACCGTTCTTAATACAAGTTGCATAGAGTTTAACTAAAATGTTAAGTGTCAAATTTGACCAGCCTTTGACATCGTGCTGTTGACCTGTCGGAGCTACTGACCCTGCGCGTGCTGTTAAGTTTATTCGTCTGATAACTATCTGACTGTATATCAGATTGTACAGCGAATTTAGCGATTCACTAAAAACATCGCAAATTGTATGAGTACTACTCAGCGCGTCAGTTGATGGATTACACGGCGCGCACTAGTGTGTGTCACAGTTAAGTAAGTACTTACATTTAAATACTGTTCAGGTCTGAAATGGGTCTAAACCAGGTAAAGTTTGACACTTAAGATATTTAAATTCAACTCTACGCCACTTACCTACGAATTTATAAAAACGACTCTATTGGAAGTGTTAGGCTGCTAACAGATTGACTGCACGTTTGAAGTTAATGTGTGAAGTCGTAATCAACTTTATGCAACCGAAATCACGACTGCATGAAGTCGATGACGACTTCATGCAGCCGAGATCGAGTGCGTGAAGTCGTTATCAACTTCATGCAGTTGAGATCTCGGCTGTATGTCGATAACGACTTCACGCATTAAATGCATGCGGTCGAAACCGATTTCATGCAGCCGAGATCGAGTGCGTGAAGTCGTTATCAACTTCATGCAGTTGAGGTCTCGGCTGTATGTTGATAACGACTTCACGCATTAAATGCAAACATACAGTCAACCTATCAGCAGTCTTAAACTTTTTGATTGACAGTACAATCACGTGCAAGTAATATAATCAAATGGTCTCGGAAAATATATTTTACAATATGTTGTATTAACCATATACTTGGAATAATATTTTAGGAAAACATTTGAGTAAGTAAAAGTATTTATTATGCAAGTTATCTTAATGACATGCAGTGAACAAATGAAAAAGAACGTCCAAGTGATCAGCACTACATTTTACGAATACTTTATTGCTCGCACACAAGAACAAGAACAGTACATAAACAACTTAAAACTAATGTGGGCAAAGGTGGTCTTATCGCTAAGAGCGATCACTTCCAAACAGCCTTTGAGCGGGAAACGTAGGGTCGTATTCTAGAACTCTACTCAATGCTCAAGTCAGGACTTGAGTATAATTCAAAGCACTAGAAATCATACTCAAGTCCTTGCCATTAGGGTCGTATTTCCAGTGCTTGAAATCATACTCAAGTCTGCTCAAATCCTGACTTGAGCACTGAGTACAGTTCTGGAATACGACCCGTAGTGTGCCAATGTATACAAATTGGATTGTATAAATAATAAATAAAAAACTTACATTATAATTTATCAAATAATAAGAACTAATTATGCCTACATTTAGGTGTGGCCTACCGTAGATTTAGTATAAATGTGGCCTACCGTATGTTATTGAAATAATTTTTTTATACAATTCTTTGGATCGTATGATATTACCGTAGGATATTACTACGTTACATTCCAACCACATCAAAAAGTTTACATAAATTATGCGTTTTGTTCTCTAATACTAATAACTGTAGTTCTAAAATGTTTATCTAGGGCAAAAAGTTAGGTCATACTAATCACTAGTACAATAAGTCTAAAAACATAAAATTAAATTTATTTTCTAATATATTACATTTTTTAATTTATTTTCCAGTGCAATGAAGCAAACAAATCGCTTTTGACAGTTTGTTTTCATCATGGCGTCTCTGACGCTTTACGAATTATTCAGAATCTAAAATTACTAATTATTTTTAGATTTATGAGTAAAATGTACTTAGATTATATAATAAAATCGAAATATTGAATATAACACGCACAATGGACTTGCGAGAAAATAGCATTTGCCGAGGATGTTTATGTTATGATCGAGAAATGGTATTAATCAATGATTTTACGAAAAAAGATTGTTTTTCGCAATTATGCAGCGAATTTAAGGTAAATAACTTATTATTGACATAGCGTACATCTTAATGTATTATTAAGTGAAGTTTCAGGTATAATTTCGTGTGATAAATGAGTGAAAAAGTATTAAAGTCTGGAAGTAAACCTTTTCAAGTAAAGTTTTGTTTTTTCACTTAGAATTCGCGAATAGAAGATGAAAAATTGATATTGTGCTGGGTTTGCTCGGCTCTTGTTAGTCGGTTTGCTAAATTCAAGGCGCAAGTCAGAGAGGCCCACTGGAGACTAGAGAAAAGCGTGTCACAGGTATGGAAAGTTATTTCTTTTTTATTTATGTTGAAATTTATGTATTATGGGATGGTATAACGGGTAGATGCCTGCAATTCGACGCCTAAACGCCTATTTTGCGTGTGGTGGATGCAGAAACCTAATTATGCCCCCCAACTTCATACAAAAATATTGATCTGTGATACCTAAATTGAAAAGATATTTATTATAAGGAATATAACTCGTTTTTGTGTATTATTATTATAGATAAAATATTTATTCATCACACATATACACACACAAGAAAGCACATAAACAAACACAAACATTCATATTGTGCAACTTAATAAAAAAATAGAATTAATTTATTCTTTAGGTAACAGTGACTCATAGCCATAACATTAAATTTACATGTTAAACATTACATTGAAAGAATTTATAAAAATTCAATAAAACATAATAAAAGTAAAATAAAACGAAAAAAGAGAATCAAAAATTTTAAATACAATTACATTAAAATTAACAAATAGATATAGTTAAATAATTAATAAATTGATTGATACACTCATAATAAAATTAACACAAAATCGAATTTTCAAATCTAAATTCCACATTAGTTTTAAGCTGTTTATGTACTCTTCTTGTTCTTGTGTGAGAGCATTAAAGTATATATCTATTTAAAATCTGTTTCTGTATCTATTGCTACTATACTCGGCACTATAGCGGGCAAAGGAGACGGTAAATTGTACAAATTTTAATTGCTGGATGTGGGCAGCGCTGGACTGGGAGAATTGGCGTGCTCAAGTGAAGGCTTATGTCCAGCAGTGGATGCATGTGTGACAATGCTGAATTGTTATACCAATTTTTTTTATGCATTCATTGTCATTTTTATCACCCTCTTTACTGGTTCCTGGCCACTTTCTATTAAAATTTTGAATCATTTCTCGAATTCCTTTTATTTCCATTATTCTTACGTTGGTTCATATTGTCATCACACCTATCAAAATTCTCGAAGCGAGAGTGATAGAGCTCCTCCGGCTCTATCAATAAATGAGAAAACTGATTTTAATAAAATTCTTTATTCAAATATATCCAAAACAAATAATGTGAAAAAAAAAAAACAACTTGACATGAAGAGTTCTACGAGGTAACAAAAGTAAATTTCAAAAAGAATTACTCAATGTCACACCGGCCAGTATGTAAAAGATTGCATATCCCTGCTCTGACAGAGAGGACATGCTTATTAATCATCATGTAAAAGTCAACTTGACCAAATTTAACTCTTTTTAAAGCATGGATATATGTATACATTATACAATGTGTTGATTTGCATTCTCGCCATATTTACAGAGGTCATTCTATATTCGAAACTGAACCCAAATCACTAAAAAAATAAAGCGACAAAAAAATTTCGTAAATTCCTAATTTTTTTAAATTGCGGTAAACAAATTTGATCCAAAGGTCATTCACTTGCACGGCACTTGCAAACATTTTGAACAATGACCTTTAATGCGCAGAAAGAAACGCATTTTGTGTGTGAGTGTCGTGTCGAGCGCGCGACCTTGCTTCTCGTACTGCGTCTACATAACACTAACATCCCACATACATTCTATTCTAGTCTGTCACTAAATTCCACGTAGTTTGGTATGTAAACAAGAGTTAGTAGTACAAAAAAGAACCGCTGCCTGGTTCTCTGGTGAACCTGCATGGTAATCCATCAAGAACAAGTGCGTGTCTATTCTTATGGCATGATGTGAAACGTTTAGTTTACGTGGAGGATACGAGTGTCGAAGTTTCTGCTTTCAAAGTTGTGGAGTCTAATGTTGAAACGAAACTCACGTGCGAAGATCTGCATAGTTGGTGGTGGCTCCGGTTCACCTATATATAGGAAAGATAGGAAACCGTTCGGCCACAGAGGCAGTTTAATGATGATACAATACTAGTACATAATCATTATTAAAAAAAAATTACTTTCCCTATGGCTAGGCCACACTGAGACTATTAAGAACACTAGATACGAATCTGGGATATCTTTATCAAGCCCCAAGTGTTTTAACCGCTGCACCACTGAGATTGTCAAATTAATTAATTAATATTGTATATGGTTTCTTTTCCAGCACACATCCAGACCCAGAAGCCTTACTACATTCCACAGCAACCGACTTTTCAACATTAATATCATTCCCACCGAGTATGAATACAATAAACCCAATTTTAAATATGAAGTCATTAAACATGAAATAAATCCAGACATCTCAATCAAAGAAGAATTAGAAAATATAATAATTAACGACTCTGATATTATACATTCTGATTCCGATGACGACAACAAATTGCTAATAGACTTTAGTAACAAACAGAAAGATAAAAATAAAACTATAAAAAAACAACAAAGGAAAAATAATGACTTCAAAGAAAAAATTAAGTCATTAAAAGAAACATCTATTGTTAGAAAGAAACGTAAAAATGGAGAAGAAATTTTCAAAGAGATAGAGCTAACAAAAGAAGAAATAAATGAAGAACGAAAAGAACTATCGTTGCAAGAAGAATATATAAATGCAATGTTCCGGTGTGAACGATGTGTTATATCATTTCCTAATGCTGATGATTTGAACGACCATGTCAATGCTAAGCATGAGTTGGTAAGCTTTTTATTTTTATATAACTGTTACTCTCTGAGTGTAAGAATACATAGGCATCTACAAATTTTGTTTGCCCATCCCTATTTTGGGGCGGGCATGACAGCGCATAAACTATATTTTGTGAAATTAATATAATAGCATTTTCAAGTTTTTCTTGAATGTCACGATTTTCAACTATTTTTTGTGAAATTGCTGCACTAGTTTGTTATAATATCATATTATATTAATATCATACCGTTGGTTTCCTAAAATAGCGGCTTATATCAAAAACATTAACTACATCAGAAGAATGGTCAGCCTACCAACGCGATAATTTTAACTAACGAAAACTTCGGTGTCTTGTTCAAAATAAAATTTTGCACATTCTAAATACAGATGTGTAAAGTTTTAAAATTAATTATTTTAGATTGTAAAATTATACTAAGATGCAACCCCAATTGGGTGCCACCAATGCAAAATATAATAGTTCGTGGTCCCAGGTTGGGCGCCAAAACCTGGAAAAAAGAACTAACTATTATTGTCGATCTTAATGAGACACATTTTGTTTTCACAGAACGCGTCTTCCTACAAATGCAAAATATGCGAATGCACATTCCTCACTGAGGTATCATACAACTACCATACAAACAGACATACAAAACGGTACCAGTGTAATATATGCGCAGAATGGTATTTAAGTAAACGAGCTGTGATCAGACATTATGAAATGTTACATTGTCAGGGGTAAGATTCCTTTGATTTTTTTATTTTCTTTTTGTAAGGTTTTTGTAACTTTTGTAAGGTAAG